TGTATATACACATAAAGGAGAATTGGCAGTAGTGGATTGCGCCTGTAATGGTGGTGGGAAAATGGAAATGTTGGAGGGACATTGATGATAGTGGTATTAATATTGCTTTTCGGAAGATTTCATGATGTTATTTTCAAATCTATTAGAGTCCTATATTATATATATAATTCATTTTAAAGTTGAATTGAATCTACTACTAGTTTTACAAATCTTAAACAGAAAAATAAAAATTAAACATTGGTACACTGAACTAGAACCTTATTATTGTAATTAACTATTTATTATCATTATTTCCTCAAACAGTGGTACTCCAACCATGGATTGGTCGGCACATTGTTGATGTGGAATATATAATTAATTACAGATGCACTCAATGAAGATGGAAGGAGACATAAGCGGCAAACACATGCATGGCAAATGCCAAGCTAATTAAATGCTCAATGGAAAATTCACAAAAAAAGAAAAAGGAAAAAGGAATTGGGGATTATATTTGTATGCTGCACTAGTAAGGCATATTGATACAGCAACGGTTGTGCCTCCACTTTCGTTCAGGTGGATGGGCTCTGACTCCAACCCCACTTTTGGGGTTAACCTAGCTTCCCCGCAATGCAGACCCCGGCGGTTGGTTTCGTTGATCACTTTGATCATCATCATCGAAATTCAATGGGCCAGTCCTCTTCCATGCCACATCGACAACCATTTTTGTGCTCTCTGACGACACCCCGCACCCACATTTTTGCTACCGAAGGAGGAGGAGGAGCAGTTGTAGGTTTTATCCGGTTCAGTGCCTGATTTTAAGGTCATCTATTCTCTCTATATATACCCCCCTAACTCTTGCTTGCTGCTCGTCCATTGTTTGCTTCTGCTTCGTTACATAACAACGTTGCTACCTCTCTGCTACCCAGTCTTGAATTACGTCTCCCTTATTCTACCTGCCATCCTTCTTTTCTCAAGCCAAATGTTTGCAAGGTGATTCATTTGCGTTGTTTCTTTTTTAGGTCATAGGGCCGGGGTCCATTTCCATTTTTCTCTCAATTAGTCTCAACTTAATTATTCTGTTTTATGCTTAAACATGTAACTTAATAGTAGATGTATCGTTAATTAACTTAACAGTAGATGTATGTACCTTCTTCTTGCTTAAAAAGACGAAATTCAGATCTTATTTTTATTAAATGAAAAAAAGTTATTCGGGTTTTATGAATGAATGTTAAAAGATAATATTATAGATAGACTATATATTCTGATATTCTAATTCTTTTTATTTTATTTTTTCCATTTGACGATGGGGCACCCATGGTAGTTAAAAGATAACTTAATTTCTGTTAAACCTTCATGTATTATTTCTATACACTGATTGCCTAACTCAAACTATTCATTCATAATGTGCACCAGAGTCTTGCATATATGGACGAATAATGCTTATTACATTGTTAATTTGATCACAAGAGTAATATTTATCATGGATGTGTAATTATTATAGGCAATTGTGAGTTTCATGTAATTTTTTAATTTGTCCCTTAACTTTGTATTCAAATTAATTAGAACTCTCCAAAAATTTTTAATTGATCCTAAATTAAATATTGATACAAACTTAGAGTTCAATCTTATCATGTTACTTGTTCTTCTTGTGTTTGTTCCTTCTTATTCATTTACTTGTCCACGATTTAAGAACTTAAAATATATCTGTAATTTTATTTAAGTTAAATTTTAAAATTATATTGTGATTATATATTGATTTTAGGTTATATATATGTATTTAACAATTATATATATATATATATGCACGTGCTGAAACTTTTAAGGTAAAAGTGAATTATCTATCCTGCTATTGCTTCTTGCGTTCCTGGGTCCCCTTTGCCCCTTCATTTTGCACCTTTAAACACTTCATTGACTAGGACAATAAAGTGATCATAGATCCTTTTGAAAAAAGGGTATTTAATCCATCCAATAAATTTGTGGGCTTACCTGACGGGTTAGGAGTTGAGGAGAAGTATACGTAGCTAGCAGCTCAAACAAACTCCACCAAAGTCCATATCCATGCTTTCCTTTCAAATCAGATGCTGTTGTTTTGTTGCAGCTACATGTATTCCTTGCTTTCACATCTCTTTCAAGGCCACTGCCTCCAGATGGAGACTGCTTAGCTTGTTGACTATCAATATCCTATATTATCTTTTTGACCTCTTCAATTCCTTTATTTCTAGAGCATATGTGTTTTTTTTTTTTGAATTTGGAGAAGGAGGATTAATTCAAACTCTGCTCTTTAATAAAAAATTATATACTAACCAATGAATTAAATATTCGAGTATTAGAATATATGTGTTCTTTTCTCCATCAATTTCTTAGAATAACTTCTGATCTAACAGCACACTATTTTTCTTTGCCTCCTCCGAAGTTTAATCAATTCCTTTGTGTTTGATTAGTACAAATGGCAAGAATATGCACTGAATCCTTTTGCTTCAAGTGTTGGAAATGAGGTTTGGTCATTGCAAATCTCCCCACATTATTGGATTCTTTGCTTAATTAGGAGAGATATCATAGGGGCCGGGGATTAGATCAACTTTGTAATAATCTTCAAATCAAAAACATTCAATCTTAAGTTTACTGATTATTAGTGAAGAGACCTGTGTAGTCAAGGAAGAGAGGGGGCGGCAGCGTCCCATTTTGGTCTTTTGAAATACTAAATCTTTGCCGGTTTCCTTCCCCAGCCAATTGATGAAGCTTGTTTCTTCACCTTTGCTTTTGTGAATTGGCTAAAAGAGATACTAGACCAAGTCAACCAAGAATACTCTTTACATAATTCGGTGGAACCTCACGTGGCAGACAAGGGATTGCTAGTCGGGCAAAAGTGACAAGAGATGAATATAAATTTCCTCATAAGCTGCCATTTTGCCTTGGTTCTAGCTAAAAATTTCCACAAGAAAATGGTATCTCTATGGATGCGGGCGTAGAATTCCTCCCCACTGCTTACGTTATTCCACTGCCATCATCTTTGATGATTCGATATCTGCCAGGTGGGCTTAATGCCTTTTGTCAATCGACTATATAAAACCAGCCAAGCCAAACCAAGTCCCTCAACTCCATCGTTGTTTTTGGCAGTTCACGCTTGCAGTCCCCTCATAATTAATGGTGATTGCCATCATCTTAATCTCTCCTTTTGTTCTGTTTGCTTTCTATGACTTCACGAGTTTTCTTTTCTAAAATCTTAGATTAAACGATGCTATTCTATCCAATTACCCAAGCAGTTGATATAACTATATATGAAATGATTTTACTAATTGAGTGCTGTTTGACATCTTTAATTTCCTCCGTCATCTCTCTTACTTAATTTGCCTGTGATTATAGGTCAACTGTTAACTATAACAAATATCATATTGCACTTTAATTTCCTATAGGACCAACATATGATTTCAGCAATGGTGAAGCGGGTGCGTGAGATATTCATCTTGTTCTTCTTAGCAATATTGTCCAAGGCAATAGGTACAAAGCCCTTTAGGAGAACGAGAGAGCCAGCTGACGGTAGCTTTAACGACTGCTTGAGCTGGCGGCTGGCGGTGGAGGCTAACAATGTGCGCGGGTGGCGCACCGTCCCAACTCATTGCCAACACTATATAGAAACTTACATGATAGGCGGGCAATACGAGCTGGACATGAACTATATCGCGGGACAAATAGAGAGTTACGTTACTGATCTGGTTGTGTCTGGTGATGGCATGGATGCTTGGATCCTGGATGTTGATGACACCTGCCTCTCAAATATCTTTTACTACCAGGGAAAGAAATACGGGTACTAACTAATTTGCATAACTATGAATTAATTAGTACTTAATTTCCATCCTGCAGCAAACTGATTAAGGTTTCGCTCAACAGATCGATTCTAGCTAATTGACTAATTTCAACTTTGTTTAGGTGTGACCCTTACGATCCTTCAGGTTTCAAGGCATGGGCAATGATGGGAGCGTGTCCAGCGATTCCTGCTGTGCTTGGATTGTTTACCAAGCTGGTCGACAGTGGATTTAAGGTGTTCCTGGTGACTGGGAGAGACGAAGAGACCTTAGCCCCAGCCACCATTGCTAATTTGTATAACCAAGGATTCATCGGCTATGAAAGGTTGATTTTTAGGTAAGACGGATGATTCATGGTTCACCTACTACTTTCTTGTCCTTCCTTGATTAACATACATGTGGGGTATTAATTTCTTGGAACTTATTGATCTCCTGGAGAAATTTCCAGGAAGCTGGTTAACGGATAAGCGCAGAGACAAACTCAACTTTGAAACCTTCTTAGAATGAGTCAATTAGATTCATGTCATTTAAATATGAATAGCGGTCGGATACTATAACATTTAAATCATAAACTACAAAACACCCCAAGGTTTCGCTTTGTCGAAAAAACGCAGCCGACTTCCTGTGTGGGTGGAATTTTGTGAGAGAGAGTCAACATGCATAATACAAGACTTTATCTTAATTTGGAGTTATATGAGACACATCCAAATGTCAATTACGAGATACAGATTCCAACCATTTGAGTATCATTACTGATTTAAAATCCTTTTGGTTTTCTTTCTAACAGGACCCAAGCTTTCAAAGGGAAAAGTGCGGTGGTTTTCAAGTCTGAAATCCGAAAGCAGTTAATGGAAGAAGGCTACAGGATATGGGGGAACATCGGCGACCAATGGACCGATTTGCAAGGGGAATGTTTGGGCAACCGAACTTTCAAACTCCCAAATCCAATGTATTGCGTTCCTTAAATTAATCCAATAAAAGAAAAATCAAATGCAAAAATAAATTGTATGGAATGCCTCTGCTGGCTCTGGCACTGAAGGGATCAGAGACTTGTTGTCATTGGTATTGTTTACATGAATCCCTTAAGCAATCTAGTAGGGCAGCAATGGAGCTAGCTTCTTCATGTTTACTTATTGACCAAAATCTCAATTAAAGTCATAGCATAAATTAATGGAATAATCATAACCATAAGCCAAATGAGAGGCTAGCAATACTCAAATGGTATTTTCAAATTGTCGGTTATCTTTGCCTTATTTTTTTTTCTTCATTTTTTGTTATTAATAGAGAGCATTTGATGCCTCAACTTGCATCACAAATTTAATCTTTGACATTAAATGTTAGTATAAATTTAATCTAGTGAGATCTTGTCTAAATAACAAGACAGAGATTCTCGTTTTTTAAGTTTTAAATTTAAATCTTATTATGTATATATTTAGTTTAATTTTATATTAATTAATTTATTTGATTTCTTCTATTTTGTCTATGTTAAAGATTATAATTGTTACCCATACATGTGATTTATTAAAAAGGAAAATTTTGTTAAATTAAGAAATGATAATTATTTAACCGCGTCTATAAACTTTAAAAATTTCTCCATAGGACCATAGAATGATAATTAAAAATAATTTCTTTAAGAATTTTGTAAATAAATAAATTAAAATATGGTTCATAATTTGGATTCATTCAAGGTCCAAAACCGAAATAAAGTTCGCAGGAAATTTCGCCATAGACAGGGGAAGGAAGCAGTTTTGTTTGTTAGCTTCCCAATGTACAGAACTGACAAAACAGAAAAGAAAGAAAAGGAAAGCAATCTCTTTCTCATTGCTGATCAATCCTATCTGATTGGTTTTGTTGGTGAAAATCCTTAGCAATTAATCAAGTAGCAAATTAAGCAAGAAGAATGAATGACGGAGATGTGTCGAGGCAAATCCAGCAGATGGTCAGATTCATCCGCCAGGAGGCTGAGGAGAAGGCCAACGAGATATCTGTCTCTGCTGAAGAGGTTGACTTGTAATTGATTCCCTTTACTTGTTCTCTTGGTATGTATATGTGTATATGTTTCCTAAGCTAACAATGATGTAAATGTTCAGGAATTTAACATCGAGAAGCTGCAAATATTTGAGGTTGAAAGGAGAAAGATCAAACAAGAGTATGAGCGCAAGGCAAAGCAGGTGGAAGTCCGCAAGAAAATGTGAGCGTAATTGCAACAATTATGGCATGCCTTGTTATTATTAATTTGTTTGCAGAAATCTGATGGGAATGAATGAATGCAGCGAGTACTCAATGCAACTGAACGCGTCGCGCTTAAAAGTTCTTCAAGCACAGGATGATTTGGTGAATTCCGTAAAAGAGTCGGCCAGGAAGGAGCTTCTGCGTCTCTCTAATGACAAAAGGGGATATAAAAAACTCCTTAAAGCTTTGATTGTTCAGGTCTTAATTCGCTAATTTGAATGCTAATGCTCTGAACCATATTCATTAATTATCATGCATTGCATGAATCCCAATTAATCATTTAGTTCTTGATTAACACACATATGGTATAATACATGCAGAGTCTGGTGAGGCTGAGGGAGGTGGCAGTTTTGCTGCGGTGCAGAGAGGTTGATCGCAAGGTCGTTGAGTCTGTCTTAGAAGAAGCAAAACGGGAGTACGCCGACAAACTCAAAGTACAACCCCCTAAAATTACCATCGACAACGTTTACCTTCCACCCCCTCCCTCTAATGCAGATTCCCATGACCCTTACTGGTAATTTATACTACTAATTAATTACTCTGATTCTTTTCTGCCTATTGTACTGCCTGCCTTCATAATAGTAATTTGCTTGCATGCGAACCTTTTTATTTGCTTGGTTTAATTTTAGTACTAATAGATATGCATGCATGATCAAATTAAGCTCGGGCGGAGTTGTGTTGGCTTCAGAAGATGGGAAGATAGTGTGCGAGAATACTTTAGATGCACGCCTGGATGTTGCTTTCAGACAGAAACTACCAGAGGTAAAATTCATAGCTAGTAGAAGAAAAAATTTAAAAGAAAGTTGAAAATTACTGAAAAAGATTAGCAAGCAAAGATATATATGTTAATTTGTATAGAAATATGCATAATCCTACCTGCTGCAGGTTTGAGAGGTTTGACTCCTTGACACTTATATAAAACTAGTACAAATCTTAACTTGAACTACAAACCAGAGAAATTAAATAGAGTAATATTGGTCTTTTTTGCTTCTGTTTCTTCGATCCTTCTTAAATGTTGACTAGTTCATTAATTTCATATTAATTAGGCATGATACAGTGACAAATTTGGTAAGGATGATGAACTTATTCAGTGTTTTCTGAAGGACGTAGGCTAACTTTTTTTTTCTTATAGCGTCAATTAGCATCATTTGTGAAATGGGAAGTGAAGGGTTTTGGGCTTTAATTTGTTACTTATTTAATTTTATGGATGCAGATTCGAAGGCGTCTGGTGGGACAAGTGGGTGCTTGACCAATTTCTATCCTATATGTTTGTCTCTTGCTATAAATCACTCAAGCAGACTCACAACTTAATTCAGCCTGTGTTTTTTTCTGAAAGTGGTATTAATTACTCGAGATAAATGTACTCTGCAAATAATTTTGGAGTGAACTTTATCTGCCTTGTTTAACTAAGTTTTAATATGTGGTATACGTTTGACCGAGCCAGATCGTGGGGATCCATCACACTCAATAAATTCTGTTTAATTAGTAAAATTGAACCGATGATGATGTGCATGAGATACTAATTCAAAAAGAAAAATCATATATAATCATTGCTAGTTTACATCTGATTTACAGAAGTTTTCCATAAAAAATAAAATAAAATACTAATCATGGATGGGTGCCAATTGGTCGAGCTAAACGGTATCCCATATGGCCAAATAGTCTCGGTAAAACGGTCTCTGTGTCCCTCCGCCACGCTCTAATCCTACACCAAACATACTCTTCACTTCTCCTTTCCTATGAATAATGAAACTAAATATCAGTTATACGAAAAACTAAGTAAATACAATAACCCACCGTATTAAACTTTTGAGACTTCTCAGTCTGTCTCAGCTTCTTATATATTCATCTTAAAATCCAGTATCAAATTATAAAAGTAATCATATTATATATATCAAATTAATATATTATAATAATAAAAATAATAAAAATTGAGAAGTGACGTCTGCTACACTAACACACCACTACCCCACTGTTTGTGCCGGAGCTAGAATCGAACACTTACCATTACGAAGGGACAAATTTCTGGTACATATAGTCTTGAGCTTACCCTATTCCCATCCCATAAATTTCACCCCTCTCGTCCTAGAATGCAAACCTGATGCCTCAAGGCCTATTTAGGAGTAACGAATGGTTAAAAAACCATTACAGTTGTAAGTAGGAAAGAAAGGCTCAACTCCCTTTCGCCCCCATTATTGAGAGGCCCCTATCGTACTGGGCTATGGGCTGGTGAGTTTGGAGGGATTCAGGATTGCTGGTTGTTAAGCTACCGTGTGAGAAAGAGTACATGGTCACGTCCAGGCTGAACATTGCTTTAATCATCCACTTACAAACGAAGAGCATGTCAAGAAATTCAGGATAAGTCGTATATACATTCAGAAGCTTCACGTTCTAGTATTAAATAGCATACAACAAGATGAAAAATTTTAGGAGACAGAATACCTGCGACTCCTTCCGGTTTCCCATCTGATCCCCGTGACTTCCGGCTTGATTTTTGTCGTTTTCCTCCGGCAGGACCACTAAAAATTCCGATCCTTCCAATCCCTTTAGATAGAGAGGTAAAGAAAGTTTTCCCACTTCCTGACTTATCCATCAGCCCCCGTTTCATGAACATCTGCTCCTTCTCCAACTCACTCAGCCTAACTCTCATTCTCGAAATCTCAAGCTTGAGTTCTCGGTTTTCCCTTCTCAGAGAAGCGTAGTTGTCTCGAGGGGACATGGCAGCACTGGGGACACCACTGCTTATTTTCTGGGACAGGAATCCATCTCCAGAGTTTCCAGACAGGGCATTCTTCAGACGAAGCTGCTCAAAGTATAGGACTCGAACTGCCATCTGTACTGGGAGTCGATCATTCTGTGCAGCATGATTGCAGGCTTCTTGAGAGAGTTTCTGGCAGTCTATGAATTTACAGAGCTTCTTGCACTCCTGATCACTTAGCATTGGATGAGCCTAGAAGAAAATTTGAAATATCTAGCTCAGCTTAAACCCAATATAAACAAAGCCAATGACTCAGATGCATATAGCATTCCAATGCTAATTTTCAACTAGATTCTCTGATCTTTAAAATTAAAAATTCAAATGAGCCAATAGAATACTAATCAGTGGTATTAAACAAAGCAAAGTCAGCCTTTGAAACCATAAACAGACATTGCCAAAGAAGACTAAAGGTTTCTTTTAAAATCAAACGCATGATTGTTGCAAATCCCAATTAAGAGAAAAGGTAAGAATTGTGCAGGCAATGATGTTCCTACAGGGGAAAAAGTAGCAGAACTAACCCATTTCAAAGGAATCTGAGCCAATGGAGAATATTTAAGAAATTAAATAATAATAACAACAATAATAATAATAATAACAGCGGGTGAATAACACTAACAGCTGAGATTTTTTGGGTGGTAGTGCTGTTGGGAAAGTGGGGGGAAGAACGAAGGTCAACATATGCCTTCAGTTCTAAGATAGATGATGAAGATTCTGTTCATAGATTCTGACTATATACTTGAAAAGCATCTCAGCCATCAAAAGACACAAAAGTTACATGATACTACTAAATGAGATAAAAAAACCCTTAAGTTTGAACAACATATACCCTTCAATAGAAGGAAAGCATAGAATAATTTCCAAGATGTTATGAGATTATATTTAATTGCGAAAAGAAAACTACCTTCAAGTATATATCAATTGCTCTATAAAGCCCATCATCAATAACTCGAGCATAATCGGGTAATATGTCTATCATAGCAACGAATTTCTGCAAACTCAAATAAGGATCAGGAGCAATTTCTGCTAAATATGTGTCAATAAGCCGTCCCACCTTCAACAAAGAACCATGGCTCGGAGAACCAAGGCCTTCTGATTCATACCCACAATCTTCATTTTCTTCATCTTCAATCAGCTGCAGAAAATTTACAAGTATCCTGTGGACTGTATCAACATCAAATAGAGAATCTCCAGTGAGGAGAGATGGTATAAGCAGATCATCAAGTGAAACCATTTCCAATCGAAAAGCTATCCTCCTCTCAAGCTCAAGCCTGCAGGCCATGGTAGCTTCCACCATAATTCCCATCCTAAGCATCCCAAAAAGGAAACTCAAAGGAATGGAAGAGCTCTTCTCTGCTGGCAATAAATTTACAAGGGTTTCCACAATTGTCTTCTGGTCATTTTCTCCAATGCCAGGACTTGGTTTCATTCTTACTGGATTCCAACTTTGATATTTTCCAACACCCTTCAGTGATGCTTGGGCATAATGCATTAATGATTCAACAATGCTGTCTGGTCTAACACCTATTCTTCCCATGGCACATATAACCTTCTGATAATAATCAATACTTAAAACTGACAGATCCTCAATCCACCACTCCAGGCATCCACTCTTAATTTCTGAAGCTTCACTGGCACAGTCTAAACGAGACAAACCTGACACCAACTGCTCCTTGCATGCATTCATGGCAATAGCCTCCACACATCTATTTGGAATTCCCACTTCCTCTGCTATTGGAGGTAGTGTCTCGCAAGTAGAAAGGACTTCCACAGACTTCTCAAGACTTAGAACTACAACCTCATTCAAGTAAATCTCTGTTCGTGCAATAAGGTTTTCTTCCCGGTAGTCTTCAGTCATTTCCAAATATTCTGCAGCACAGCGCAGAGGTGCAACGTTTGTGGTTGTGATCTCAAAGTTCATGCCATAGCAGAATTTCATGGCAAGTTCGAATGTCTGAGGTCCTCCTGGCAAGTCGAGGAGCTCCAATTTTGAAATATTAGAATCCTTACCATCAGCAATCATTTTCCTGATCTTTCCACTTCGAGATACCAATGGAAACTTGAGAGAACCAAAACAAAAAACATGCTTCAATTAATTTTGAAGTAATTAAGAAATGTGAATTTCACATATTCCTTTTGTGCGAGGCAAAAATTAAACCCATTAGTTCAATTTCTAACCTAATAGGGTTGCAATTGCCAACACATTGCCAGTACATATCTACCCACCTATACACTCATTACAGAGTAAACAAATTCAAGCTAGATCCAGCAAAATAAAGCTATGTTTTGAATTGTTCAGGGATGCTTGGTCATAAAATGGCTACTTTTTTCTTTTCCCTCTATGGATTGGAAAGATCTGATTCCAAATTTTCAAAATGTCTATTAAGCTTCAATGATGTCCAATTAAAAAACAACAGCTAAACCTTAAAAGTCAAAGCGCTTTAGTGAAATCATATACCAAAACAATAAATATGAACCAGGCCTCAACTCGTTAGAATATACCAAAAGAGTGGCTTAATGATTGTAAAGAAAAGCTTACCTTGTGCAGTAGAAAGGACTCTCCATCAACAGCAATTGTAATATCCCCTGCAACATCTGAAAAGATTCTGCATGAAGAACTTGAAGTCAGTAATGCCAAATTGGCTAGCAGTGTATTAAACAATATCGTACCAGAATGAACTTTTGGCAAAGTAGCACAACCCCAGAATTGGGACCATATAAAAATGCCTTATTTTCTAGTGATAGTTCCTTCTAGACAACTACATGCAGGCTTAGAATATGAATGTTTTTACTTTTTCCTTTTTTTTTTTTACTTTATTCTTAGAAAAGGGAAATGTGAAACAAAGGTAGAAAAAGCAACTGAAGGCATGGAAAATTTTTTGAAAGAAGTAGAAAGAGAAGAAGAAGAAGAAGCAGCATATACCAGATATTAATGAACTAATTATTTTTAGTCTACATATGATTTGCAGGGCTTCTTTACATTCTGAAAGCGAAATGAATTATGAGTAATATGTATCAACATGTTGATTCAAAACAGTCTGGGAACTTGTTTAACAATGCATTAAAGACCCAACATCATTTTTTAATGAGTGCAAAGATAATGTCCATACAAGTACATCACGCATTCGACTCCTTTACAAACTATAATCTATATGATGGCACAATGCCAAGGGCCAATATAAAACAAAGTCGCCAAAAGTTATTTGAAAGCCACACTAACAATAAAAATTTTTATTTGGTAACTTTAGGTTGATAAGAATTTTTGTTTTCTATTTGGTTAGCCAGTTGTTTCAACAACAGCAAATCAACAGGCTCACTCTCCAGATCATTATCTTCATTCTAAATTAGGGAAAGCAGAGAGCCTAAGGAAAACTCAATCAAACAGAATGATCTCGTACAAAACAACATAGCCATATAGTAAATAAATGTTAAAAAAATCATAAAAAGAATATTTGTAATTACCAACGCAAGTCCAACATAACATTAGAATAATGAACTATTAATCTAAAGAGAAACCTATGAACAAGACAAGAGATCTCATTATTCTAATCCAAACCATCACCAGAAAACAAAAGGAAAACGCTCTGACTCAATTTAATTAGTGTTTTAGTAAACACTAAACCGTACAAAGCAAATGCACTAATCATTAAGAAAAGAAACAAGGAAGATAACTGCTGTGCAAGAAACATGATCAGCGTTTGGCTTGCCAAATGCCACGCCAAGTATACATGTAAAACTAAATGACACACATGCATCATGCATCATACATCATGCATGTGCATATGGGTGTGGGTGTCAAGAGAAAATATACATTACCGAGTGGTGAAGGAGTTGCCAAACTTGGATGCCGGCGAACGATTAGAAGAAGTGACAGAGCTGTTGTCTGAGACCATTGTTTTTTCCCCTTCTTTTATCTTGCCTTCAGTTTTGAGGTTTTAATTTTCCAAGCAGCGAGAGTTTCAGGTCCACAGCAGAGCAGAGTGCAGACCCATTTGCAGGAATGAAACGAGGGGAGTGAAGCAGATGTATGACCTACAGAGACCATGAACAAAAAAGTAACTGTAGCTAATGACTAAGTTTTACGCAAATGGCCTCCTACTCATTGTGGATTTCCAAACGTAACCATTTCCTTTTTTTCTCTTTCTCACCTTTTGACAAAAAAAAAACACAAACCAAACTCAACAGTGATTCAGTGGAACGAAACAGCCAGGCAAGCCACGCCTGACGCCTCCCGCTCTTTTGCTTTTGCTGTTTCTTTCTTAAATCTGATTTGGCTCACGCATTTTGAAGTTATCTTCCAAAGAAGTAAAACAGTAAAAGAGCTCTCACGCCCTTCTTAAAAGCCGGAACCATATGACAAAGTTTCCATGCTTACGATACCTATCCTACCATATTTCAATTCGCTTATTACTTATTACCCATAATAAAATAATGAAGCCCCTCTCTTAACCCTACTTCCTATTGTTATTATTATCATCTAATCCATATTTTAATGAATCTCTTTATATGTTAATTTTTTACTGGCTGAGGATTTTATTTAAAATGATAATATCAAACATGAAAATCATAAGTTCGACATTATCATAATTCTCATTTTTTTATAAAGGGAGAAGATTACTTTATTTTTATCCAAATCAAATTTTATAAGTTTAATATTATCATAATTTATTTTTTATTTTATATAATGGGAGAGAATTACTTTTCAAATTTAATATTTTTATCCAAATTAAATCTCATAAGTTTAATGTTATCATAAATTTTATTTTATTTAATGGGAGATGATTACTATTCAATCCTAGTGTTTTTATCCAAATCTTACTTTAACTCTTTATCAATACTTAATAATATAACTCTTTTATACGTAGAAATTGATTGTATAAAGTTGGTCAAGGGAAAGAGGGAAAAAACAGGTGAAAGGTTACATGTCCACGTGGACCACATGGGATTAGCACAAGAATGGCAGTTTAGTGAATAGAACAAAAATCCATGACGAATTATGGAGGTCAAAAGAGAACGTAGGGAAAAGAGGTGGTGGGCTGATGCGTCAGACGTGGCACGGAACTCCATAAAGACGCAATTATTAGGACAAGTACATTGCATTTTTATTCCCTCAATTAGTTGTTCTATATTACTATTTTATTTTTATTTATAATAAAGAAAAATAAAATTCCAAATTTCAATAATAATAAAAAAAAAGCCAAATGATATTCGGTTGCTTTCACCTTTTTCGTTATCCCTTCTGTTAGATTGTCAAGATGTGAATATCTACCAAACCAAAAATTTACACTATATATTGGATTGAATGAATTTGGAGAAAGAAAATAAAATGAATTTGGATAGTACAGCTCATTTAAAATAAAAAAAATAAATGAAAGAAAAAGGGAAATATTGTGTTTGAATTATAAATTGATTATTATAAATATAATGTTGAAAAGTGTTTCTCTATATGAGTAATAATGGATAATGAATCAAAGGTTTGGCGTTATGGATTCGTTTTAAGTCTATGAATAGGAAGTTTAGAATATTCAGTAATCCCGCTCAATTATAAATGATAAATTTTTTACTTTACCTTTAGGATACACATTATCCGTACTTAATAAATCTTTTATTGAATTTATAAATTGTCTATTTACAAAATTTATTTTGATTTTGTTAATTTAATTTTGATTTATAAAATACATGAATAAATTTTATTATTATTTATTAAATTAAAGTTGTGTAGGTTTTTTAGTGAGTACCTACTTTTTAACTAAATAAATGGGTTTGGTTTTTTTTTTTTAAAAATGGTATTGGGTTTTAATCTGTTTTATTAAGGTATTGTTAATCAGGTTACGATAAGGGTATAAGTACTATATTAAGGTATTATTTAATTAAGGTATTCAATACACCCAAGTATTTAATTGATTGATCGGTATATTTTTTTTTACTTAAAAAGTAAAGTTTAAATCTTGTTTTATTAATTATTAAAAAAAACTACATTTTAAGCTTAAACCTTAAAAAAAAGTCTTATATTATATCCATTTATTTAACTAAGTTTTTTTATTTTTTATTATATTTAAATAAGTATTTAAATTTTGATTTTAGTTCAAAAACAGTTGAACTCTAATAAAAATTTGATTGTTGTTAAATTTAATATTAATTGATTTTATATTCATGTGACACATGACCTGATAAATTGATGTTTTAACATAAATTAAAATTTAAATATAATAAAAAATAAGGAATTTAATTAAATAAATGATCAAAATTATAATAACTTTTTAAAATTTATCCCATAGTGTATAATTAAGTTTGGATATAGATATCTCCAAATTAACAATACTCCATGAGTTGTCATTCATGCACGTTTCTCGATAAACCATCAACACACAACTCCTTACGTTCCATCATATTTCAATTAATTAAAAAAAAGTCCAACAAATCTTAAATTTTTAAACTTGAAAGTAATATATTAACTATTATTTTTTCACTTAAATAATTGATCATATGATTAAACTATAGCTTACAATTTACATATAATCATGAAATTGTGTATCTTCAAGTCAATAAAAAATATAATTCTCTTAATAAAAATCTTATGTGAGTATTTAAACATCGGTTTAATTATACTAAAAAATACTTTTGAAATTAATCTCAAAGTAAAAATTACAAAGAAAATCCATCATATCAATTTTAGACGTGGTGATTTGTATCCTGTTAGCAAAAGTTCATGAGTATTTAAATTGATATTAACTGTTATTATTATAATTTAATTAATGCCTTTTCCCCTTATTTTCCTTTTCCATATGCATTGATTTCGACCTTTCTAAATTTCTTGTCTTATTTTGAATATTTATAATTATTGAATTGATTTTACATTAAAAAAATTTATTTAAATAATCATTGAATTGGTTCTCCAAATCGCACAATTCAACAATTCTATTCTAAATTTGGTTTATATTTGATAACCTTATAAATGTACAAAAATAAAAGTTACACAGTCTTTTTAAATTAAATATTTTAAAATTATGAGTATTTAAATTTTAAGGTTCTCAATTTTTGAATTTATTTACTAATAAGATGACAACATTTAGCTCACCAATAGTATATAAAATTTATATAACATTTGTAACAACAAAAATACATCAAATATAAAACCCTTTTAAATTTTTCCTTACTTCTAAACTAACATGACTCGTAATGGCCCAAACTTTAACTAAAATCCAAACTCGCGTACAAAATTAAACACCACATAAATCCTTACCTACACATTATTCCAACCCATATACACTAAACTATATTTAAACTTTTAATTATTTTTTCAAAAATAATTAACTCAATAATTAATACATCGTTTATATTCAAAAAGTAACATACCAATCCTTTTTTAAATAAAATAAAAATTCTTCCTTTTTATATATGTATATAAATAATATATAGATGTAATTGTATATTACGATGTCATTACTCACAATTAAAAAATGTTAACTAAATAAATATGTAACACTTACAGAGGAAAAGGAGTTAGTAGGGTCGTTGTTTCTTAAAATTTTTAATTTTTATCTATTGAAACTTAAAATCTTGATTCCATCATTATCATACGTAAACTTTAAAAGATACTCTATTTACTCTAAGCAGATTAAAGCACTTTTATTTAAAAAAAACATTTGATGTGATACTTTCCTTCATTCAATTCGAAAACATGTTTATTCTCATCGGTTACCCGCTTGCCTCTTTCCCTATAAGTGCTTTGCGTGGATCAAGTGTTAGTCGGATTCAGTGTGATACCATTTTATCATGAGATGTTAACCCCCCTCTAAAATCCTAACTTGATAAAACGTGCTGCTTTCACCGTTATAATCTTTTCAAGGTTCCTGTATTTGTCATCTGCTTCTTTTAAAGCCTTCAGCGTGACAGCTGTAGGGGAATTCATATCGTTAGGCTAGGCGGGGGGCGTGAATGTAAAACTGAAAAACGAGGAGTAGAAAAGGTAAATTTGAAGAAATGTTTGGCTTCTCTGCGAGTGCAAGTGGCCAGTAGTTGATATTTTTATTTGGCATTCGTGGTGTCTACGTCTCAATGAGAATGTCGAGTCCTCGGCGAGGATAACCAGAAAGTATCCCAACTATCCACCACCAAAAACATAAACAGAAAAGGAAAATGCTTACTCACAACGTTGCTGCGCCGTCTTCTATGTAAGAACTCACGGGCAACCCTTTCAAATGATTTTCAATTTTTTGTTTTTTGTTCTTGTTTTTGTTTGATGGGGTTTCATTTGTGCTTTTGCAGACGCCCAATTCTTTCCTACGATTGCCATTGCCATTGCCAAGTATCTAATCAGTTGTTATTTCCTCTCAGTCCAAATCTAAATCATGGGACTTGGAGGGGTATTTACTGTCCGCCCCATGACTGATTTTCTTTTCTGTTTTGGTTCCAAGGGTTTTAAAGCCGCTTGTTTGATTTATGTTAAGTTGACTGCTTGTTCCTTGTCGTGGTGGCCCTTTTTCTATTATTGGATTGTTGTACTTGTGAGTTGGCTTTTTAGTCTTTGTTAGAATTTTGTTGTACAAGAGCAAGACAAGATTGAATTATAACGTACCTAGGATTTGAACTTGTGTTTTTGTTTTTGCAGCAAACAGAAAGCTTAAGGGATGTCGACTCAAGGCTAGCTTTTGGGAGTCCATTAGATCTGGGTACTTTGATTTGTTTGTTATTTTAGACCATAGACACTCACATGCATGTTTATGCTGAGATTGGTAATCTTACATTGTTGCTGTTTTCTCTGTTTCTGTGAACTTTCTGTTAAGTATTAAAGGTTTTCCAAAACATAGTTTGGGTTTTTGTCCTATCTAAATTTCATTCTGGCAATGAGGCCTTCGTTCAGCGTCAAAGGGACTGGTTAAGTCCTTTGGACACCCTAGATTCTGATCCCCATTCTTTTGTGTGTGCGTGCGAGTTCTCTTTTCAATACTCTAATTTTTCCTCTTCTTACAAGCGAATTTGTAACCCAGTTTTACCATAGTACCAGTAGAAACAACACATTTGCCTCATTTCTCTAGTCTCATTGGAGAAAGCTTCTGCTTTGCTTCTCTTCATAGGATTTTGAAGAACAACACAACTCAAATAATTGAACCACCATCCATGCTTGAAGAAGAGGAAGAACCGTTGCCAGAAGAATTTGTGCTTGTTGAAAAGTCTCAACTGGATGGAGAAGTTGAACAAATAATATTCTCTTCCGGAGGAGATGTGGATATCTATGAGCTTCAAGCCCTGTGTGATAAGGTAAGGATCTTTCTTAGCATGCATCCAGATAATGGGTGACGGAGTGTGTAAGCTGTTACACTGATTGCAATTTTATTGCTTGTAAGTTATGCTGTACTCTGCACCTTTCTTTTAGAAGTCAAATTTATTAACACATGTAATGATACTGTCATGTTTCAATAGGTTGGCTGGCCGAGGAGGCCATTGTCAAAACTAGCTGCAGCTTTAAAAAATAGTTACATGGTAGCCACGTTGCATTCTGTTAGGAAATTGCCTAGTTCAGGTATGCTGTTAATGTTGAAATGCCTGCTATTTAATTGCAGTAATTCATGTAAATTTTTATTAACCATCTTTCTATTCCCGAAACTATTGATAAACATCTTAGTGTACTTGGGGAAGTTATTTGACAGAAGGGGATGAACAAAAGAAGCTGATTGGCATGGCTCGTGCTACATCAGATCATGCATTCAATGCTACAATCTGGGATGTTCTTGTTGATCCTAGCTATCAGGTAATTGAGTATGGCAAGTATGATGGTCTTGTAAGTAAAGGTTATTTTCCTGAGAAGAAAATTGTATATTTACAAACACAATAGATTAGGATAGATCCTCAAAAATCTGATACTTAAATAGAAAGTCTTTGTCAATAAACTGGATCTCTTTTAAAATCAGTATAAGGCATTTGTGCTTTCTGGTTGGGGAAAAAGGGTATCCACTTATTGCTGGAATTTCTGACTGTAGCATGATTGTGCCTTTGGCATGTAAGACTAGAGAATTCAGCTGCTTAGTGTCGGGAAGGACCTAGGTAATAAGTAATAACCGACCAGCAATATTTATTTAGATCAAATAAAGCCTAGATTGAATAGGTCTTGATTATCCAAACAATGTTTTTTTAATTTTTAGTTGGGATATCAAAACCTTTTTTCAATGCTTGGAGTGGGATCCATAGACTAAGTACTTGGGATTCCCTCCTCCCTGATTATAAAAAATAATAAACTGTGTGACTTACATATATAATTATTTTGTGCAATCTTCAATGTTGCTTTCTAATGGTATACATGCAATGCAGGGCCAAGGCCTTGGTAAGGCCATGGTTGAAAAGCTGATAAGGACTCTTCTACAGAGGGATATTGGTAATATAACACTTTTTGCAGATAGTCAAGGTATCGCACCCTTTATATTTAAGTTTTTTCCATGAAATTAAACTCCAATCTGAAACATTAAAACAGATTCACTCTTGCATTACTGCTGCAAAATTATGTCATATGTCTATATGTATATAACTTGTTGAATTTTTTCAAATAATTTTGTTATACTTCTTTGCAGTTGTGGAGTTTTATCGGAATTTAGGTTTTGAACCTGATCCAGAAGGCATTAAGGGTATGTTTTGGTATCCAAGTTATTAATTGCATCTTCAATGAGGAAAAGAATCAGTTCTTACTTCAACAAGGGCAGATTTGTTTGTGTGCTTTCATCACATTGGTTCGTCTATCAGACTTCAGAGGAGCTTGGGACATTAGAGGAGGGTGTCTGTATGTAAGTCAAGTATTAATCATACATTTGTCATTGTAACACTGAATGCTGATGCTTTTTTGTTTCTAAATGATTCATTTGTTATGGATTTGCAAAACAAATTATATCAGGGGGCATTTTTATCTAGTCTCTATCAGTCATTATTGGACCAACTCAATAGATTAGGGTTTTTTTTTTATTTGTTAAAGCCTAAAAATGCATGAATTCAAAGGGTGATTCATGCAAGTGGTGTAACTGTTGGTTCGAGGTGTCTGATTACAACTCAATGACGTTCTTGTTGTTTGAAGTTCTGTTGCTTGTCAACTGGTTCTAAATTCAAATTATTCAATGTCAACAAAAGAAATATATATATATATTTCTTTTGTTTACATTTGAATAATTTGAATTTAGAAGCATATTATGCTGTTGCTATCTCATAGCCAAATTGTATTACTGCAGCTACCCTCTCATGCATTATGTGGTATTATGGTCAATTTTACCATCAGATTATGTGAAGCAGTAATAGCTAAGACTGCCTTAAAAGAGTGAAATTGAGAAAACGAGGAACAAGTTGTTTGCTCTTGATTTAGCTAATGGTAAACATTGTCAATCAAATTAAGTGATGGGTGTTTCTTAACCAAAATTTTTCTTGGGTAGACATCATTTACTCATTCAATTTGGAAGGGTAGAGTTTTGTTAATTATATGGTGCATGTTTACTGTGTCAATGGAGTTTGTTTGACCTTCACTCTAAACCATTTTAATATATTGTAATAGAAAAAAGTTTGGAGGTTGTTCCAAGCTAGTACTGACCAGTCAGGGACGGGACATGCGTGTGGGTTTTAACTTCCCAAGTTGTCGAATGAACGGTCATTGAAAATTGCATTGTACTTTTCATAGCACTCCCAGTTAGTTTACGGTTATTGGCCGTAGGAAAACGCCAAAGATTGTTGTAATATATGTACGAAGAAGCATTCCTTTGTTTATGATGATGACCTGGTTGCCTTATTGCCTTTGAATTGATACTTGACATTTGGAATTGTTATGGGATCAGATAAAGAATGAATGGAAAAGTCTACTTTCCCTTGTTTATTTTTTTGGCAAACGGCCCCTGCTTGATTGCGCAAATAGGATGGAAATGGACAGGATTGGACTATGAATATCTGGCTATGTGTGACGGAATCTGTGTTCCGGCTTCTGACTTTGAATATCTGGCGATTCATCGCTGATCGTTCGGCGTTTAGGGATCGCCTTTTCCAATCTCTTCAACTCCAGTTTTTCCTCATGATTATTACGACTTTCAAGTGCTGAGTTGCTCCTTTCTGGATATGCACCATGGATTTAAATGAATTTAAATTTAAATTATATCTGAATATTTGATTTATTAGTTGGTATATAATTTTTTTATTTTTTTTAAAAAATAAATTTAGGTTTAAGTTAATTATGTTTTATGTATTAATCATGTCGGTATGTCTAAAACATGAATAAATCGTATTTTAACCTGTCAAATTCGCTTAATTCATTGAAAATGAGACTCATTCAAAATTGTATATCCGAATAACTTGTAATTTATTTATTTAGTGATATTCACTTCTCAGGTAAATAATTTAATTATTATTTATTTATTTAATTAGATTTACATGTCGTGTAATGACTTATTTATTATTCATTTATTTAGTCATGTTCACGTATTATGTAAATTGTTTTTATTATATGTTAAGTTTCATTCAATAGTTTATATAAATATTAAAATTTTTATAATTAATTAAATTTATTGATGTTAACTTTTATTATATTTAATATATATTATGATATTTATAATTTTTTATTATAAATTTGAATATTAAAATTATATTTAATTATATATTTTTTAATTTAATTGTTTTAAACGTGTTAATTATATAAATTGTATTAATTGTGTAAACAAGTTATACATCATATAAATTTTAATTATATTAATTATGTTTTATAAAATTTAACTCGATATGATCATATTGTGTCATCATACACGTTCATTAAATTTATCCGTATATATATTTAAAATTTTAATATGATAATCGTATTATATTCATATTTAGACATATAAATATTAATACTCCATATTTATATGACACAACAAAGACACAAAGATACGAGAGATGTCTAGTCTACTTCCTCTCTTTTTTTCTAAGATTAAAAAAAAACGTCAGGAAAAAAAAAAAAAGGCAACACAGGAACAAGTTGACTTTATTATGCGCATTCTGTTAGGAAAAATAAAATCTCAAGTATAATCTTGACGGGGAAGGATTGTAGTAAAGGATTCGCACCTATAGAAACTAAGGCTCTGTCTAACCTATCAGCTTTTGTAAGCTTGAAAGACAAAGTCCTCTTAAGTCTGAAAGCCACATTTATGTTTTAAAATTCCCAACTTGGACCGTGCCATTTTACCTACTCTTGTTCATCTGATATTTGAGAAGAATGTTTGCAGCTAGCATTGTGCTTGTGCGGACCCAATCTTCCTTTCTGACCTTTGCTACTCATAGGATGTTCCCATCCAAAAATGCTTCTCTCCTTCATTTTATATCCACTTGTCTGCAAAAACTAACTGTCAAACTCCTCTTGAACTAGAACCTGTTTTACAGCTATGCCTTTGCATTGCATCAAGGTTTAACTTCCATCATTCTTGTAGCTCGTTAATGTATCTATATGTTGCTGAGTTTGTTCTTTTTGTTTTTCCCTAACATTTGTTTGTGTTAATAATGCTAGCTCTTGCATGCATTAACACTGTCTTGTTGTGGTTCCTAGAAAGAATAGCATGCATTTCACACTTTATTTTGCTATTCTGCTGTTATATTTGCTGTGCTAAGTTTGTTTTGTTCCTTCTTTTTTCTTTTAAATTATTGCACCAATATAATGTATGTGTCTTTTTGAATTGTTTAATGAAGTAATTTACTGAATTTTTTTCTTCATATAGATTTTAATGAGCTTCTTTTCATTACAGTTGTACTGATCATAAGAATGTTTTGTGTTGATCATGTATGTTTGACAGATGGCAAAGGCGATACTAAGTATTGTTGTTGTTCTTGTTTCATGTTGCTTTGCTCTTCTTGCTTCAGGACAGCTTACTTATCCATCGGACGGTTGGTTTTGTTTTGGTTTAAATTCTTTGATTGTGCTCAGTTCTTAAGCAAAAGAATTATGACAAATTCTAGAGACAATTTTGTGCTTCATCTTGCTGTGGTGTTAATCATTTTTTAAAGGTTGTTTGTGTTGAATTACAGCTGACGCACTGAATGCGATTCGGCATCAACTCAAAGATCCAGGAAAAACTCTCAGAAATTGGAAAAAAAGTGATCCATGTGAATCAAACTGGACTGGGGTAATCTGCACCACGAATCAAGATGATGGTTATTTCCATGTTCAAGAATTGTACGCTTCTCTATTCACTGATTGCTCTCTGATTACTCTAATTTATTTTTATATCTAACTTTTGCTCTTATAAGTTAATCTTTGAAATGTTATGTCCACGTTATCAAACTTATGATTGTTTTGCAATATCCTTGTTGAACTGCGCACTTAACTGAAGAGTGAAGACATTTATCCTTGATACAAGACAACAACTATTATTGTGGGAGTTAATAATCTCAAAGTAGAAAGATTTCTTGGATGTTGCATTTTTCTCCCCACTCTGTCACTTTCATGTTTTTCTTTGTTATAAGACGTAATTTTTTTTCTATGGACATGCACCTGAAGTGGCTTAGGTGATCGATCCACAAAGATCATTCTTTTTAACAGAAGAAGAATTAGAGAGTGATATCAGTCGACTTAATTGGCCTCGGGAACTTTTTGTCTGCACTAACTTTTGAGCTAGTATTCTTTACATCACTAGTGGGAAATGATTCCCAAAGCGGGTTTGATTCTTCACTGGCGGTGGTTAAAGATGATAATCTTAACATTAAAGAAATGCTAGAGACTTGGGATGGTATGTTTTACTGATAAATCTTTCAAAACTATATCAGGGTAATATTTTTCTGTTTTTGCCTTGTTTCTCCTGTGATGCAGGCGGATGCTAAATTTGAATCTTTCTGGAACACTTGCTCCTGAACTTGGCCAACTATCTAATTTGACTATATTGTAAGTGGTATCAGGTCAATTAACTTTTGGGTTGATCTTGGTAGGGATATTAAATCTTCATCCTTGTCTGTCATTGAGTTATTGTCAAATACTTGCTTCATCATCAATAACTTATTGCGTCTGTTCCTTCCTTTTGAGCAGGAATTTTATGTGGAACTATATTACTGGCAGCATACCAAAGGAGATAGGCAATATAAAATCTTTGAAATTCCTGTAAGTAATTCATATTCAGAAAGTAACAAAAGGATGTTTTTCCTATCAAAAACTTTATCAATGGTGTTTCTTCCTTGCAACCTGCTTGACAAATTTCTAGCTTGTTCACTTGTTCTGTAGATTGGAAAGCAATTTTGTGCTTAGCAAGAAAAAATGCTTCTAGTGTCAAAACATGTATAAAGGAAGGGTTAATATGTTTGGGATGCCAGATATTTCTTTTTTCTGATAAGATACAAACAAAATGATTTAGAATCAGTTAATGGATAGTAGAATTTATAGATTGACTTCATATCTCCCTGTACAAGTCGAAGGCTATAATGCATGATGCACAAATATTGGCAAATGGGAATGCTTATATCAACCACATATGGAGAGTAAGAAACTTCATGCATCATCAACATTCTTGTCTGATTGATACTAATACTTTTCAGCTAATAGTTAATTCTGTTAGGTGTAAAGCTTCTGGTTTCAAGTGGATCGCAGATTCTCCTAGCAAATTAGTCAGCAGTTTTTTTGGTTCTTAGATAGTTTTTGTTTCTGTGTTTTAGTAGTTGTTTGCAAGTTGTTCTGCAGTTGCAAGTCTCCCTCCTTTGGTATTGGTTAAAGGAGTTATTTCTTTTATCCAAAATAAAGAAAAAAGAGGGTGTTGGCAGATGGTGACTGGCATGAATGAGAAGGTTGATTAGAATACCATAGATGTTATTGGATACCATTTCTAAAAATCATAACTCAAGCACATAATAACACTGGGTTATACTAATGAGGAACAGTTCTTTCAAAAACTAGCTGGCATTTTTCTTTATGATGTATCTGCATTCTTCTCTAAGGTTAATACTACTGTATGAGCCTTGTTTCCGATTCTTAAATGTTATTAAAAATTTTTATTTTGTGCAAGTAAATTCAGATGTAATTCTGAGAACTCATCTCTCATCTGATTGGAGATAGATATGGTTACATAATCACTAGGAAATGGTTCTTGATTTGCTTCTCTCTCTTTTGTTTTCTTCCAGTTTTTCCCTTCTAATTCTGATACATTGTAAGAACAGAGCAAGATATTTCTTGTTAAAAATATGACAATTTTTCAAGTAAATGATTGCAGAAAGCTTACAAGACTACTCTTGGTTGCAGGCTTTTGAGTGGAAATCAGCTTTCTGGATCTTTACCAGACGAGCTTGGTTATCTGCCTAACTTACTAATGTTGCAGGTGGATTTGAATCAGATATCAGGAACACTGCCCAAATCTTTTGCAAATCTGGTCAGCTGCAAGCACTTGTGAGTAGATAATACTAAAGTATATGCTTTTTTATTAGGAAGTAATTGCATTAATAATCTTTTTTCTTTTATTCATTTTGTTAACCCCAGTCACATGAACAACAACTCAATTAGTGGACAGATTCCATCAGAGCTCTCCATCATGCCTCAGCTTCTACACTTGTAAGCTCAGTAATAATTCAATGGCATTACGGATGTTACTCTTAACAGAATAACATCAGAGATTTATATCCATGGATGTGCAGCCTGTTGGACAATAATAACTTATCAGGGTATCTACCATCAGAATATTCACAGATGCGAAGCTTGAAAATACTGTATGTATGCTTTCCCTTTTAAGTATTCGTATGTTTAACTTCTATTAGATTGTCTCGTTTACCAGTGTTCAAAATATCAAAGTTTTAAGTGCTGGTCCCTGACCAATTTCTTTAGGATCTTGCTGCTAATGAATGAAGCATATCAGCAATTTAGTTCAAAATTAACTAATATCATGTAAATACAAAGTACAAGAAGAATAATTTTTTTTTTGTTTGTTGGGAGAAGAAATCTAGTACTATTGCTATATCTATCCTATTTGCCTTTGATACATCCAAATGAACTAATGACTTTGATGCAGTGGAGCATCTCTATTAATGACCATTTTCTTGTAAAATGAGTTAACCTGTGAAATTTTACTAAACATTAGTTGACTGTTGATTGAACAGCTTCATCATCTGGTGTGACACACTCTTTCCTAAAGTTCTTCCATCTTTTTGCTGTCTATTGAAATAATTATGGTTTCCTTGAATGGAATTATGATTAATTCTCACACTACTATTTCCTTTTATTGCAGCCAACTAGATAATAACAATTTTGGTGGAACTGAGATTCCTACTTCTTACAGCAACATTTCCACGCTGGTGAAACTGTCAGCTTCTCTCTCTCCCTCTCTATTGGTTTCAGTTTATTCAGGGTTTCCTATGAAAGCATACCATCAAACATGTTTTTCAGATAGGGGATAAGTACATCAAGATTAGTCAAATGTTAGAGTTGTAGCATGGGCTCTTATAGTCTTGTGTCTTCACCATTCTTTTACAGTCCCTCTTTTTAAATTCATTGACGTCTCCAAACTGCTAAATTTCTGCGTTATTTTATTCCATTCATTTCAACAGAAGTCTTAGGAACTGCAACTTGCAAGGAGCTATTCCTGATTTCAGTAATATTCAACCCCTTCGTTATCTGTAAGTGTTTGAGCATTTTTAAGAGTGTTCTAATAGCTTTCCTTTGTAACATGTCTACTTGTGTGTTGATACATTTACCAATGCCTCTGTTCTATTATTGATACAAAGCTACTCATATTGAAATACTGCTACTTTGTACACTTGACCTTTGATATTGATGTTGCTCTGTATGCATGATGATTTAAACAAGTTAAGCAATGTTTTCCCAGATTACCAAATTTTAAATATATCTCAATTTTTTGTGTTGTTCATATTACAGCGATCTGAGCCGTAACCAACTCACTGGAGGGATACCAACAAATAAGCTTTCTGATAACATCACAACTATGTAAGGGTTGTTGATATACAAAGTCACTAAAACTCAATTCTCTCTCTCTGAAACATGCACACACGAACAAATTTTAGTTGCTGGTACCATTTACAAATTTTCTTTTTCATTTATATGATAAAATGAGTGATCGTTGTTTTTGTTCTTTAAATATGCAGTGATCTATCCTACAATTTGCTGAATGGATCTATCCCTTCAAACTTTTCAGGCCTTCCTCATCTTCAGAGATTGTAAGAAGTACTCTTCAGTTTTTACTTCCAATTTCCTTCACAAGAATTTCATATTGCTTGTTTCAGCAATGTTGATTGGATTATTTTAGCGTGGTTTTCAAAAAAATTTGAGAAATTTACTCGTATCTTATTCAAATTGAATGATAGTATGACGAACTGACTTAATGAAGCTTGCCTTGTGTGGCAGGTCACTAGAAAACAATTTGTTAAGTGGAGATGTTCCCTCCACTGTTTGGCAAAATGTGAATTTTACTGCTGCAGCAAGACTCATCATGTAAGTCACTGGGGCAGAATGCCAAGATTTTCAGATGCATTTATTGGAAAAGTTTTCTTGAAGAAATAGGAAAGCAGGATATTGTTGAGATATTTATGATATCTTTTGCTATTGTGATTAAGTATATCCAGCATGGTGGCTGACTTGCTGGACCTGTCTAGGTCACATGCACATACCTGATCCTCTCTGCATATGCTTTACTTGCAGAGATTTCCAGAACAATTCACTTTCAAATATTTCAGGCAGTATCAATCCTCCTTCAAATGTTACAATTAGGTGAGCCTGGTTTTAAAGAGTACATGTAATGTGTTTGTTTCTGTTTTTATTTTTATTTTTCTGGATACATAAAAGCATGTATTATACTTATTTAACACAACAACTGCAAATACTTTGATAATCTCTGATTGGTGCTTCCTGGATTGTTAGGCTTGAGGGCAATCCTGTCTGTAATTTTGCCAATCAACTAAACATAGCCAAATTCTGTGGAATTACAATAGGAGATGATGATTTTGTACCTGGAAGCTCAAGTAACTCTAATAACAGCTGCCCACCTCAATCTTGTCCTCTAAGTGAAAACTTTGAATATGTCCCAGAATCTCCTCTCTATTGCTTCTGTGCTGCACCTCTTGGAGTTGGGTTACGTTTAAGAAGTCCTACCATATCAGATTTTCGTCCATATACCGTGCCATATAGGTTGTACATAACAGCCAGTCTTGGCTTGGATCTTTATCAACTAGCTGTCGACTCATTTATATGGCAAAGGGGTCCTAGGCTGCGGCTGTATTTAAAAATTTTCCCTCGATCTAGCAATACTACTGCTACATTCAACCATAGTGAGATCCAACGAATCAGAGACATGATTGCTACCTTTGCAATTCCTTCGAATGACACCTTTGGTCCATATGAGCTGCTCAACTTTACACTGCTCGGACCTTATTATAATGGTATCTCTACATTACTGTATCTTTCTTTCCTTGTTCTTTTCCTTTTTCAACCATGCATCTTTTTCGTTTAGCAATTACAGTTTAATTTCATTTTTTGAGATCTAACTGAGACTGTTAATAATTGTCGTAAATGTCTCCTTTTCTTTTTCATTTTTCTTTAAACAAAAGCTTCTTATCAAACCTGTTTTTCCCTTGCTGTTTCCAAAAAAAACAAAAAAGAGAAACAGAAAACAAGAGTCATAACTGATAGTTATGCCAAAGGATACCTTAACTGTCAAAAACACATTCACTTCTTACTAATATGATCATGTATTGCAAATCCAATACGTTCTTTATCATTTGAAGACAGCACATTCCATACAACAGGAGAAAGTTTTGGCTGCCAACCTTTCTCTATAAATCTTAACTAAGAAATAAGGAGTCTTTTATAGGAGGTTTTACATGCTTTCTACTTTCTCATATAAATTAGTATATGAAAGAACAAGGATCCTCTTATCAGGGTCTTACCCATTCATTAGTACTCTCGATGTAAATCTTTTTTATTATTATCTGAAGGATAGAAATATAAGATTCCCTTCAGCAAGAAAAGCTTGGGCTAGGGAAAAATCATGAATAGAAAAGAAAAAGAAAACATAACAGAAAGTAGAAAATGAAGTCAGAAACCTTTTCAATGAACATTATGCATGTTGATTTGTTACTCTACTGTTGGCATGTGAGTAAATCCTTTTGTCTTTTGTTCTTCCCTTCCCAGTGCTAATCCTCTGGTTAATAGTCTAGTATATTCTTTGTGTTGGACAAGGTGCTCCAGTAGTTTTCAAGTATTCTGCATTTCTTTAGTGGAAATTAGCTTACTGATTATTGTTATTTCAGTTGATCTCCAGCCTCTGGAATCAGGACTAAGAAAAGGTGCCCTAATTGGAATAATCTTAGGGGCTGTATTCTCTTTTGTAGCAATATGTTTGGCCATTATGGTCCTCTTCTATAAAAGGAGCACTCAATCCCGGCATGACGTGTTACAAAAAAAGTCAAGTAAGTCCACATATAATATCTCATCTGCCCTGGCTATCATCTCTTGCCATATATAAAGGCAATGATCATTCTAAAATAAATCCTCTTCCTTGTTCCTTTTTTATTCCCACTGCAGTTTCTAAGGTTCCGATCAGAACTGAAAGTGTTAAGGAATTCAGCTTTGTAGAACTTGAAGCAGCTACAAGCGGATTCTCTGAGACCACTCAAGTTGGTCAAGGAGGCTATGGAAAGGTTTACAGAGGCACTTTGGCTAATGGAACAGTAGTAGCAATAAAGCGTGCCCAACAAGGATCGTTGCAGGGTCAAATAGAGTTCATAACTGAAATAGAACTGTTGTCACGGTTACATCATCGGAACCTGGTTTCTTTGGTTGGATATTGTAGCGAACAAGACGAGCAGGTGCAGTCACTGCAGTCCCTTCCATTTCTTGGAAGAGCATGACTTAACAAACTAATACAACAGAATGCAAAGGGAAACAAAGATTTAACAAGAAAGGGAGAAAAAAAGGAAAACCAGTCACAGAAAATCATGGGAAAGCCCATGCATAAATAGCTAACCCATGGAATTTCACTGGAGCTATCACCAATGCCTCTCATAAATGTAGAATAATCTTGCTGCAAACTTGCTCATACACTATTGTCGACTATGTTGACTAATTTTTAACTGGATAAATCTATTATGTTTTACATTTCAAGGCTGCAAATATTCCCTACAGATCCTCTTAATGCTCCTTCAATTATATTGACTGATCATGCTAGTTATGCATTACACTGAATTTATTGTGCTGTTGTATGAAAAGATACCAATTCAGCTTAAGTCAGATGCATTTACAAGAAATAGCGACCTTCTCAAAATACCTGATATCTGCATCAAAATAAATATATAGATAGATAATGCTTGGCTTTTTTCTTTGCAGATGTTAGTGTATGAGTTTATGCCCAATGGTTCTCTCCGTGATCTTCTCTCAGGTAAATTTCTCATGTTCTATCTGATATTAAGGGCATATATAGTTGTGTGACGGTTTGAATTATGCTATTTGGATCAGCAATGAAAATTTAATGGGATACAAACTTTTACCCCACAAGCGGTTTTTAGAATAAAACTACATGCTAAATACAGCAATACCTTTCTTTTGGCTAAACTGTACAGGTGGATTCTTTCAAATGTATAATGCTTTATCTTCTTTTTGTTCTTGTTTTAATTTCTGAAAAATCCTGGCAATTTTCCAAATGATACATGCAGTGTGACTTCAGCTTGATATTTGTCTGCTACCTTCAAGCTGAAAACCTTTCCAGTTCAGTGATTTTAACTGTTGCTCTATATTGCTGCAAAATTTTACATTTTTTAATGTGCAAAATCACAGATAGATACAGACATACCTTGAGTTTCCCTCTGCGATTGCGTATTGCATTGGGTTCAGCCAAAGGCATCCTCTACCTGCATAATGAAGCTGACCCACCAATAATTCATCGGGATATTAAGGCAAACAACATATTGCTGGACTTCAAGTTTACTCCTAAAGTTTCTGATTTTGGAATCTCAAGGCTTGCACCAGTGCCAGATGCTGAAGGAGCTTCAGCTCATGTATCCACAGTTGTGAAAGGCACACCAGTAAGAACTTTGTCAAAATAGCACATTCCCCACAAGCAAACTAGCATAACTTTGTAAAGATATACATATCCAGGAGTGTTTGAATGCTATGTATTCGACTGCTTAGTAAAGATAAAATTATATTTTGTGAACATAAATTTTTGAAATATTAAAGCCATCATTTGATGCATGAGTTCTTGCTTGCAGTCAAATATTTATGCTGCTTTGTTGGCTAATTATTTCCTTGCAATATTTTAATGAAGTTCACTTCCATTTTGTTTTTCTGTATAGGGCTACCTGGATCCAGAATATTTCTTGACTCACAAGTTGACAGAGAAAAGTGATGTCTATAGCCTTGGAATAGTGTTTCTGGAACTTTTGACAGGGATGCAGCCTATCTCTCATGGTAGAAATATTGTCCGAGAGGTAAATCACTTCCTGCAAATATGGGATTGATTTTGGTGATTGAGTTTTGTATCATTTTCAGGGAATTAATTTAAAATGCCTCCTAGAAACATCTTTTCCCTTGTCTGATTCTTTCTCTAAATTCATCTCAACATTCTTAATGAAACAACATAGCTAGAAACACTGTGATGCTACCCACTATTGTTTAAAACTCTACATTCTATTAAGTAGAAAATCTTCTCATCTGCTGAATCGTTGATAAATAAACATATCGAGACTTCTTTTGTCAAATCATAACACATTTCCGGTAAACATCTACTACAGGTTAATGGAGCTTGTCAATCCGGACAGATGTTTTCCATCATAGACCAGAACATGGGTTCATACTCTTCTGAGCGCGTCAAGAAATTTATGGCACTGGCCCTGCAGTGTTGCCAGGATGATCCCCAGGAACGACCAACGATGTTGGAAGTTGTGAGAGAGTTGGAGAACTTATGTTCAGTGCTTCCGGAGTCGGATTTGATTCCAACAGGGTCAGATGCCTCCTCTGCAGGCAGTATGTCAGCAGGGTATGCCTCATTGCCTCTCTACTCTGGAAGGAATTCCCAAGTGACCACTGAAATCTTAGGAAGTGAACTTATTAGCGGCGTAATCCCCACCATCACGCCTCGCTGATGCCTGCCATGCCACCACACCCTTATTTACTCGACACATGAATCAGATGTGCTCTTATCAGTTAATCCTGAAGAAAATTCAGGTTGAAGGCTGTTTATTACCCCCTGTTTACTTGTCTTTATGGCTTTGTTTTCACCCGAGAAACGGAAACCAGATAACTATGTATATTATAAATAAAATAACTATGTATATATTGAAATTGTTCATCTTTATATACACTTAATTTTGATTATTTATTATTATTTTTAAATATTATCTTACCATATGAGAATAATGTAAAACAATAATATCATAAAAAAAATTAAAAATAACTCATAACGAATAATAAAATTTATTAAATTAAATTTTTATTTTTTTAAAAGTATATATAATACATTATTAAATATCACTATTCTACCATTTAAAATTTACTCTCACTATCAACTACGTGTTTATTCTCTTAATATTCAATAAATTCTATCTAATTAAGTGTTCATTCTCTTAACATTCAATAAGTTGACTTTTAATATATATTTTTTCATAAGATATTATTCTTAAAATGAAAATAAATATATTCTTTTTATAATAAATATGTTTTTTTATAATTAAATACATATTTTTAAAATTATTTTCTTTCTATCAATTATTATAAATATGAAAATTTAAAAAATAATTAAAAAATAAAAAAAATCAACAAATATTAATTTTAAAACTCTCTCAAAGTTATTTTAAATATTCTTTTTATTCAATCCTATTCAGATACCGTGCTCTGCCGTTTTCTTTACCTTCCTTCTTATTTCTCATCCTCTACCATCAAAACAATTAACACTTCGATAACTACTTCAACCTTTCTCTCTATCATCTCTGATACATTCCGATGTGGTTATTACCATTTGTCCTCTCTTCCCGTCAAAAGAACCCTTTACAAACTGAAAATCATTAGAATATCATTTGATACCATCAATCTTGATAGTAACTATCCAATCAAACCCCATAAAAGATCCTTTGATACATCCGCTAGAGTTTAGACGAACCATAATTAGCCCTTCGAAGGTGGTTGTCGTTTTCCTTTCTTGCTTTTCTTTTTTTAAATAATCATTTGATAATAATAATCTCAACAAGCGGGCCAAAAAAAATATAATCTTCATCTTGACGTACCGTACAAGTACAATTTCCCATTTATCAAATGCATCGCAATCTACAATATTACACGCTTCGATGCCATTTGATTCGATTCTCCAAGCAAATTCAAAAACGTTGACGAACTCCCAGCACGTTGCACCCATAGTGTCCGAGAAGGCACGTTGTATCCTCTACAAAAGCGACAGAAGCTATCATATCACGCGCCATTGCATCTCACACCGATGTTCCAGGCTCAAACCCGTCGGCGGTTCTCCCCACGCGCGCTCGATGAACCATAATGGTTGGTTGGTTAGTCCTACGAAGTCGAGGGGGAGCAGGTGGAGGAAAGAACAAAAAAGATATCGAAACGGGGTCTGTCCACATCTCCGAGGCAGTTGATGGGGAGATGTGGATGAACGACAATGCTTTTGAGAGCGAAAAGTCAACAGCTTTCTCCATCTCCATCAATATTCAAATTGATTTTTCCCAAAAGGCAAGGCTGCAGCCGCTACGCTTCAAACTAAGCGCTATCTGCATCGCATTCACTCTCCTCAGCCTCTGCTTCCTTCCTTCAACCTTTCCCAACCTACTAGGAGTAAGTAGTAAGAGATAAAAATTTCATAGTATTTTTTGAGAAATTTTTTCTTTTTTTTTTGTTTTTTGCAAAATTTGATTAGTTGAAGTTGGCAGATGATGATGAGAGTGAGCGACTGCATACTGGGCCTGTGGGTGTGGTGTTGTTGTCTGCTGCTGCTCCTTGCTGCTGCACAGATTACAGATCCTTCCGAAGGTGAGAAATGATTTTCTCACCAATCATCATTTGCTTCTTCTTAATTTTAGTTATATTCTTCAAAAGTAAAAGCAAAAGAAAAAAAAAATCTTCGATCTTAACTCCAACAATAATCTTAAAAGTTACGTCTTTTCTTTATGGTTGCTGTAATCAGACATATAGAAATTTCTAGTTCAACAACTTTTATGCTGGGTGCAGCTTAAATAACTTTTGCGTATATATAGGGTCTCAAATATCATAGCTGACCTTGATTATATATGAAATAACCAATTTGTCCAAATAACAGTAATAGCAAGAGTAACAATCCTATCACAGTACTTGTAACAAGTTGGTGTCGAGTTTATTTCTTTTCTGTCGGATTCTGCTATAATAGAATTTTGGATCATACTATCGGGTAAGGCTAATTTGTATTGCTTACCTTCCCATCTAAGCATGTTTTGGTGTGAAATACATGTTTTTGCTTTTGACTAATATAATGTTAATTTTGAAGCCGCAGCGGGAATTTATTAGTTACTACTATTACATTGCTAAATTCGCTTTTATGTTCAAGTAAGCATATGTTTCATTTCCAATTGCAGTTAGTGCTTTGATGGCAGTGAAGGAGAAATTAGTTGATCCCATGAAGAATCTCAGAAATTGGAAAAATGGGGATCCTTGCACATTTAACTGGACTGGAGTTTTATGTTCTGATAATCTTGGGAGTGATGGATACTTCCATGTTCAGGAGCTGTACGCTTTCTCTTACCAATCTTTTCATTCTCCACATCTACTTGTAATAGGGTTACTGTTCTTTTTGGCGTTATTCATTTTATTGGTTATCAAAAAAGTTTGGACATGTATAGTTGTTGTTGCTAACTGCCGTATGTAAATTGATGCAGTCAGCTACTAAATATGAATCTTTCTGGAACTTTAGCACCTGAGCTTGGCCAACTCTCTCATCTCAGAATTCTGTGAGTTGAGAAATATAATATATCTTAACCATTCCTGATCAATTTCCACTGAGGCTAACACCAATTTTCCTTTATTTGTGGAAGAGATTTCATGTGGAATGAATTGACTGGCAGTATACCTAAGGAGATAGGACATATCTCTACCTTAAGACTCCTGTAAGTTGGATTTTTCTTATTCCTTCTTCTTCAACAAAGGAACTTTAGTTAATCACAAATATCTTTTTTAAGATGGATCAGAAGGGATACTTGACAGAAAATGGAATTTTCTCATGATTCTATTATTGTCTCAATATAAGCCCGTGACTAAATTTGTGGTGCGAAATTTATTCAAGGTTGTTCTAATATCTACATGAATGGCTCTTTGACAGTGATTTGTTGGTTTTAACTTTCTGCATGGCATTTATGTATGCAGACTCTTGAACGGAAACAATTTGTCGGGTTCTTTGCCAGAGGAACTTGGCTACCTCTCAAATCTGAATAGACTTCAAATAGACCTGAATAACATTTCTGGCGAAGTACCAGAAGCATTGGCCAACTTGAGCAGTGTGCGACATCTGTATGTGAATCTACAACCTAAATGCTATTTTAACATAACAAGGAGGTTAAGACTTTTCTCTGTATTTTATCTGCTTGTTGGTAATGTGCAGCCACTTCAACAACAACTCACTTAGTGGTCAAATTCCCCCTGAGCTATCTCAGTTATCCACTTTGCTTCACTTGTAAGTTCATATAAAATGTGCTCTCCTACATATGTGGTTTTCTTTTTCTGAATTTTTTGCATGGTTATCTATATTTTTTATTTTAATTTTGTGGTGAGTGATTGGTGATATGAATTTTGATTCTCCGCAGGCTTTTGGATAATAATAACTTATCTGGATATCTTCCACCAGAATTCTCGAACATACCAGATCTACGCATACTGTATGTTTCTTCCCTTCAATCATCTTCCCCATTATGTGATTTAGTTATTGATCATTATCTTCCAGGTTTAACTTGCTTCTTTATTGATGTAATTCCTTTTTCTTATCATACAAAGTGCTGGCCATTTGCTAAAGTTTTAAATAGCATAATTTGATAAGCATGCATGTGTCATTTGTCTTAGATTGCTGTCAATTCTCTTGACATTAATTGTTCTCTTCATCACTGCAGTCAGCTTGATAACAACAACTTCAATGGCTCTGATATTCCAGCTTCATATGGGAACTTTTCCAGATTGGCAAAATTGTGAGTGTTAGTACACCATTTAGTCTTACCGTTTATTTAGTGTAGTAGTAGCAATGCTTATGCTTACAAACGTAGTGATTTTGTGTCATTAGGATTTAAAATGAAAAATCATAAAGACCATGGAATTGCTCCTAAGATAGAAATACATCAAAGTCTAATGTTGAAATAACCTACTTTTCACTCTCCTGATTAATTCTGTCTTGCTTTTGTATTTAATACAATTGAAAAAATTGTACAAGCAATATTTTGCACCTATCTGCTCAAGACTGCTGATGCTATTTTATTTCTTGTGGCAACTTTCAGAAGTCTTAGAAATTGCAGCTTGCAGGGAGCAGTTCCTGATCTTAGCAGGATATCAAGCCTTAGCTATCTGTATGTCTGGTTTCTGTTTAATTTATTGTGAAGTCTTTAATATTTACCTTCATGGGCTGCATTTATTTTTTGCAATAAGACTTTCAGAAGTCTTATTCTTGTTTCTGCACTTATGTTCCAGGGATCTGAGCCAGAATCATCTTACTGGACCCATACCATCAAATAAGCTTTCAGAGAATATGACAACCATGTAAGTAAATTGCTAATTTAAACTTATCAACTGTTCTATTTCAAAAAAAAAATAAAGCATCTCTTGTCAATCTTCAATTGCTTCAATCTGGATATCCCAATTGCCTCATATTTAAACCGAATGATAAGTTAATCTTTTGAAATTTGTCCTTTTGATTATTATATCAAAATGCAATGAAGACAAATTCCTAAAATTGCTTCTTGTTAATTGCAGTGATCTTTCAGATAACCAACTAAACGGATCTATCCCTGGAAGTTTCTCGGACCTTCCTTCACTTCAGACCCTGTAAGAATCTATATACATATGAAAACTGCTATATATTTCCTATCATGGAATGATGCTTTTTTAATATCTATAGATGATGCTCTTGTGACTTTAATGGGCAAATATATTTGCAGAGTCTAGAATCTAAATGATGGTTTATTGCAGATCAGTCAAGAACAATCTTCTGACAGGTCCTGTCCCTACCA